CATTGCGACAACACCATCGAAGAATGTTGAAGCTCCCTTTTACTACGTCAGCCCGTACGTCACAATTTCGCGGGGAAGTCAAAAAAGCAATCAGATAGAGAAAGAAGCAAGAAATGCGAAGTATTCGCTTGAATCTCGCAAATCGTTCGACCTGTCAATTGAAGATCGTCAAACGAGGGAGGCAGTTGTATATTTCCGTTCACAAGTCGGTTAGGAATCCTTTCAGTTGATTAAAAAAGTGGAAATCTGGCGAAAATATTCTGAAGATTGTGAAATACCAAGTGAATACTTGGACTTGGTTAACGTAGCGATAGGCCAAACGAAATTATTGACGACAAGCAAATTTAAACAGTTTAATAATCTCATCGACCAATGTGAGGGCAAAGAAAGTGAAAAGGTTGTCAAAGCAGAAGACTTAGAGGTAAAAAATTTGTTTAACAATATTAAGAGTAATACATATGTATATGTCATAGGGGTTTTGGTCTATGGTCTACTTGCAAGTAGAAAATTGCAATCAACGTTTCAAGCGACTGGAAATCTTGAAAAATAACAAGTGGGTTGATCCAGATTTGTGTGTAATCAAAGAAAAGAAAATACGTAAAACGAACAGCAACGTTCGAAAAAACGTGTCAATAGTGCTGTTGGTGTTATGCTGAAAGAAGTACGCAAAAATTTGAGAAACGAAACAAAGGAAAATGATGTTGGTCGACGAACTCCCATGACTCAACATGGAGGTACATGGATAGTGAGTATAAATATTCTTATAAAGTATATTCTATAAATAATATATATTTTCATGCATTAATTCAAAAGGTAGAAGATTGTTTAACTAACTACAAGATACAGGATGGAAATACACCGACCCGAGGCATTCTCAAAACCCCGGGCTCCGTGCGAAGAGTTCCATGTCCGTCTTTGACATGGAAGACGAGTCCACAGGTTAAGCTATTTATTGAATAACAGGCCGTGCGTGCTTCAAAAAACAAATAATAATGAATAGAGATGCGTTGTTGTTTCGTTTTGGATTAATTTAAGGATTTTCCATAAAATAATTATTTCTCAAAGAAATATCTGTTTTTTATATTTTCAGCCAACGCAAGAAATTTCAATCAAAAAAGGGAACGATTCACTATGAATATAATTCCTCAATGATCTAGTCTTGGCCGTTTATATCCCCCCTTAATATATATATTTTGAATATGTTGAATGTCTTAGAAATGAATTTACGAAAAAATAACTTCGTTATGCATAAATGAACAAGTACCCAATAGAAGAGTTCAATTATATGTGTTGTGCAATGTGCAACGTAAAAATATATATCATAAGTTCGTGTGTTAATTCTTCCTATCTTTAATATGAACCGTCCCCGGTTCACTCATACTATCAATTCTCTTTTTGAACGTTTTCCTATCCTTTTTATTTTACATTTGTTTGTTCGTTCATTCACTTGAAACCGTTTTCTTTAAGTATATACTTGATTTTAAATGTGAAAATAATTGAAATACACAGAAATCTTCAATATGATTTTAAATTGAATAATTTCAATTTACATTATGAAAAATTATTCATTTGAAAATGTTGAACATTTTAAGTTTTTCTCAAATTCTTAAAAAATTCAAAACGATACACAGGTATTGTCGACTGACGCCATCTCTGATTAAAATGTTAGACTTTTTCCATTGCATCTAAATATGTGAAACTCTTGCGGCAACACTTGTCAATAGATCGTTTGACACGGTGGCGTGCAAAGTACGACGCGAACGACGCAATTGCGTCGGGCGGCACTTGCCGTGGGGCGGTAAAATTGCGAGCGAAGGGAGCAAAAATTTTGTCGCGAAATTTATGGAATTATGCCGCTTCCCGTGGAGAATTGCGAGCGAAGCGAGCAAAAAAATTATGTTGTAATTCTAAGGCGGCAATATTTAGCTGAGGGCGGCAATATTGAGAACTTATTCGATCATTTCATCAACAAATACGTTGCTTGTTTGATGTTCCTTGAATTTAACGAACGTTGAGTTCGTAATATATTTTTTGAGTGATCAGCAAAAAATGTACACAAAAAACTCACAAGATTATGTCTTTTTAAAATTAAAGTTATGTTTATGTTTATCATTCAACCAATAACAATCGATTCAGACCATGGGAATTATTAAGAAATATTTTGCTATAGCACTCATTTTGCTTTCTAGGAAATTTTAATACAGTATAATTCCATATAACATAAATAACGCCAATGCGTTGACGGACAGTTAGTTTACACAAAATTTCATAAACAAACTCTATCATTATTGTACATCGCGTCACCGCAATCAGTATACGAAATGAATCGAGATGCCGCATGCATAAATATGAACGCGATGTATAAATATATTCTAACCGCTGAAATATGCACTTTGCTTAAAATCGAACGAAATTTCACTTTATTGTTGAGGGACATTTCATTCTGTTTTGATTTGTCACTTGAACAAGTTCTTTTGAATTCAATTAAAAATTCACGTCGATCGCGAACATGAAACGAACAAAAGAAAGTGGTAGTAGTTATCGCAAGAAAAAAGAAAAACGTGATAGGGAAAATGCTAAGCAAAAATTGGAGCCATGGACAAATTTGTTAATCCTCAGCCAGACACGGATTCATTATCCACAGAAAATGAAAGTGAACCGATGGAAACAGAGTCACACGGATCAAGTGCTAATGAACTGGAATCAAGTGATAACAAAGCCGATAAAAGCAATAGTGAAAATGAAAGTCAAAATGTTGAATGTGAAAATTCAAGTATGGTTCAAAGTGACGACGAACTGGAATACGGAACTGAAAATCCAATTGAGCCAACCGTTCATGATCCGTTTTGCCTGATTCTTTTCTCGAAAAAATTGTAAAGTCAGGATTTCCACCGATTCCAAATCAACACACACCTTATCCAAAGACAAATGGTCGTAGTTTCAACGAGAGCATTTTTCATGTGAATCATATCAATGGCACACATTATAAGCGTGATTGGTTAGTTTACT